AAAAAGGACATAGTCGGAAGATTCATTTTTAACTTCTGACCGTTGTCTTCATTTCCTGAAAAATTAATGTCTGTTATAAATATAACAGTTGATAACGAGCAATCATTATTGCGACATTGTCAGAATGACGAGCAGCAATCTTTTATCATATTATTATTTATTTATTTTAAAATATAAGCTCTCGACTCAAATTACTGGTCGCTTGCCTTTCCCCTATACAGTAGACCCCCCCTATAACGCTTAGATACGTTAATCGATTTTTATTTTGTAGGAATCATTAAATACATGAGCTAATCGCAGCCCGACACGTGTGAAGTTTACGAACTAAGGCTGTTTGAAAGGTTTTCTTCTATAAAATTAACCGATTCTAGACTAATTCCACTCAACATTTCCAAAACGCGTATAATTTTTTGGGAATAATCCGTATAAACTTTGCTGTAAACAAAAAATTGTAGGATTACTTACCGAGTGTGCACCGTTCGACTACGCCGTTGCTCAAGCTTGTTTTTGTCACGGAACAGAGCACGAAACGGCGGCCGCGATATCTGATAACGAATTTTTCGCAGAAAAATTCGTTGACCTTTGGAGACATTATTAATATAAATAATTTTCATGGTCGTTGAATAAAAAATGTTTCTTTTACAAGAAATGTGTAAAATTAGTGCTGTATTAGATTTACGGTATCTAATTTACGTATTGTACAGACGATAATAAACTCAACTTACTAGCCTAAACTGTCCATAGCGTAGCGCTAGACAACGGAAATTATATATATAATTATAATAAAGTTACAATAAATTAAGTTAATATATAATTATATATACAGTACCAAATTTATATATAATTAATATATAATTATATGTACAGTTCCTAATTTATATATAATTTATATATAATACTGTACAGACGATAGCAAACTCAATTTAGCCGCCTAAACTCTCCGTAGCGTGGCGCAGGGCGAAGGAAAGTAGTTCAGCTGCTTATTCACTATTGGTCCAGATTCTATCAATTTTGTCGCAACAGGAATCGGCAACGACGTTTTAGGAGTTCCTTTATACGAATATTGCTACAATTTTTTCGCTACGTTATAGGAATTTTCGTTATATGAACCACCGTTATAGGGGGTCGACTGTACATTATACTTTTCCTATAACAACAGAGTCGTACCGGTAATTTATCTAATACCTTTCAAAGATAAATATTGAAATTGAAATATTATGACTTCCGATTTTTAACGAAAGTTTAATTATAGTTAATCAGGACCGCACGTGCTCAGGTTGTATACCGCATGTCTCATTCGTCGTGTATTTGACTTCTTTAATTAAATTAAGGGATGACAGACAGAGAGTCAATCGACATAAGTCTACAGTTATTCATAGGTCCACAGTTATTTCGAATTACAGCTTAATAATTATGTATCGTATGTCATGAAAGTTTGATATCCGCGATTTGAGGAGGTTCATTTTTATTAAAATACTAGCTGTTACCCGCGGCTTTGCTCCAGAGGATTTTGCAAGCACCAATTTATATAACACCAACCGCTGAGAATGATGGGAATTGCCGTAAATCAAACAAAATGTTTTCAATTTGATCAATTTTCTAAAACGTTTACAATCGTTCTATAATCGAACCAATATGCAATAACAAATTCGAATTTAAAATGGTTCGAACCTCTGGTTAAAACATCGAAATATATAAAAATATTTATAATAATGTCTGAAATGTTATCTATTTAATACATCTAAGTACTCAATGAAAATTAAACGTAGTTGAAAACGAAAAATCGCATTTAAAATAGTACAGTAGAAGCCGTTCTTCCGGTTAAGCCTTAATACTTTTTCTTTCCCCCGCGGGAGAATTTCGAAAAATCCCTTCTTACCGTGCATTCCCATAACATATCCTACTAATACGCAGATATAAACAAACTGTCGCATCTAGAATAGTACAGTACAAGCCGTTCTTCCGGTTAAGCATTAAAATTTTCCCTCTCCCCTCCGCCTAGGAATCTCGAAAAATCCCTTCTTAGTGCGCGTTTCCATGACGTACTCTAACTGTGTACCAAATTTCATCTTTTTAGGTTCAGCAGTTTGCTCTGGGCGATAATGAATCTGTCATTCAGTCAGTCAGTCAAGACAAGTAACTTTATATATTTAGACTAGCTGCAAGGACCCGCTTCGCTGGGTTTTTATTTGTTCGTACATTTGTATATAATACAGTTTTTTATATATATATAAAAGACTGTTTTTCTAAGTAATCTAGAATCTAGCTGCAAGGACCCGCTTCGATGAGCAAAAAGTGGCAATAGTGAAGATTAAGATAATTACATTATAGCCAATCTTACCCGTTTTCACAAAATGCAAAAATTAGATCCCCGTTTCCAGACTAATTAGAGAATTTTTATATCCAGTCAAACGAACTATTTTCAATTTTATTAATTTTCTGGAACATTTACAATCGTTTTGTAACTGGATCAGTTCGAATTTGAATTTGAATACGAATACGAATTCGAAAATTTTTAAAATCGAAATAGAAAATCTTCCACTTTCAACCACTTTTAAGCCCATATCTCCCGCACCCTTATACCTATCGAGACGCAACCACTATCGTGCACGAATGGAGACTTGGGGCAACTACCACATACAAACACTATTCATGTGCGATGTGTAGTTTTGGCTAGAAAGTGAAATATAGGGACACACACGTCCATTTATCTATCTATATATATATATATATAAAATGGACATGTATGTCCCTATATTTCACTTTTTCGCCAAAACTACACATCGCACGTGAATGGTGTTTGTATGTGGTGGTAGCCCCAAGTCTCCATTCGTGCATAGGGGTGGTTGCGTCTCGATAGCTATAAGGGTGCGGGAGATATGAGGCTGAAAGTGGTTGAAAGTGGCTTTCTATTTCGAATGTTTTGTTCGAATTTGTTCGAATTAAATTCGAACATAAAATTCGAATATTGGTTCGATTATAGAACGATTGTAAACGTTCCAGAAACGTTGAAAATAGTTTGTTTGACTAAACGTAAAAAATCCTTTAATTAGTCTGGAAACGGAAAACCTAATTCTTGCATTCTGTGAAAACGGGTAAGATTGCCTATAATGTAATTATCTTAATCGTCACTATCGTAAATTTTTGCCCAACGAAGCGAGTCCTTGCAGCTAGTTAAGAATAAAAAAAAGTCTTTAAAACTGGCAGATTGCCATAGAATTTTGTAGTAGTTTAAATACTCGGATTGTACAAATTAAAATTCCATATAATTTATTACTGCTTTATTTACTTTAAATGCTAATAATAGTAATAATAGGAAAAAATAAAAGCCAATTAACTGACAGGTCAGTTAAACAATTTATTAAAGCGCATCCACATGTTCAGTATTCGACAAAGTATTTGGCCAAGTGTTTATTACTTGTCCACATACACGTACACACATACGAGTATCTGACGATGATCTGCTTATCGTGAGAATGAAAAATGTTCATACGAAGTCTATAAAATGGACAATTCTAAAGCAATAATTTCTTTTGCTGCTTTTGCAGTTTTGAGCATTTCATATGTGTCAATAGAGAGAAACGAGGCTAAAGAAAGAGAATGGTGACTGGAAATCAAGAAATAAAACGATTTTTAAAGAAATAAAATAGCAAAACAGATGGCGCCAAACGCAGTTTATAATGTTGCTGGAAAAGTTAAGCAACTGGTTGCTTAAGTTTTAACGTTCGGTTCAAATTTCTAATGCTTAATTTACATTTTTTTAAAATAACTTCAATGCTTCTGCGACTTATTTATATAAAAGTATGTTTAACATTTTCATTTCTTAAAGTATTAATACTATTAGTCTTGTTTTCTTAGAATTTAAACCAATCTTTATTTGTTATTTTACAGAGATTTGACACCGGTTCTGATACTTAAAAATATAACTTTATCGAATATTTTAATAATGATATATTTAGTTACCAAGTATAAGTTTTAAATACTTTTTAATGTTGACAATTAAGCATTTTTTTTTTTTTTTTTGCAGTAAACTATATAGTTTTCTTTAACCACAGAAGTCGCCATCTACAATCTTTTCACCGGATTCAAGCTATTCTATTTTCCGCTCGACTGGTTTGATCGCCATCTTG